ATGACGATTATTCTAGAATATTCTATGCAGATAGATCTTCATATATGTAATTGTAAAGCCAGGAGAATAAATTATCGAGAATGATATTCTTTGATTTTTTTTCTAAATATTTGAATTCAGATCTTAGTTTATTAGTTGTATCACACAGTGAAACAGTATTATTTACTGGATGACGTTTTGAACAAAATTTATTGTTCATAATCATATCAATTGTAATCACACGACTTTGAAACTTGAGTTTTATAGTTTTCTTTGTCTTCTCTTATTTGTCGTAGGGGTAGTAGAATTTTCCAAATATCTGGGACAGGTGTTGAATCATTCCTATTACATGTATTTGCAGTTGTTTTTATTCTCAGACTAAACCAGATGTTAAACTATGATTACTTTTGGGTGAAAGTTTCCCTGTCATTATAGACATTGTGTTACCAACAAAATATAAACAGAAAAGTGTGGTGTATTACTTGTAATTTTATTCACAAACTATAATTCTAATCTTTTAGGAGTTGTCAGTTAAAGTGGATTCAAATGAAGAAAAATGATCATTTTAACGTGTTTCTGAAAAACCATTTTGTTTTCACTGATGCATGAATTTATACAATGAAACTCTCATTTTCTGCTGTTAACACTTTTAGAATAACTGACGTCTTTTATCTGATTATTGTTTCTTCATGTTTAAAGGTCTCTTAAACCACTAAAAAACAGCATTTCAATTAGGTTAGTAAAGATTTGAAAACGCCTCAGTTAAATGTAGAAAGTCTCATTCTATCTGTTCAAGTCAGTGTCATTTTGTAGCCGAAATTTTGTACAGTCATTTATTGAGGTTGAAGGCTAATACTGAACAGATATTTTGTAAAATTGAACACGAATTTGTTTTACTGAACAAGTAAAAGGTTTTTTCTAAAAATACTGCTTAAATATCAGAACTTTTTTAAAGCCAAACATAATGTTGACCAAAAACCACTCAGCAACAACAGTTAACAACAAGTTAATATTATGCATTATTAGAATAGCGGTGAAAACCGATGTCATATATTCATCTAGAGGAATAACGATTATTATTTTCTTAGGTTTTTCATGAAACATATGGCTTCAACAGCACATCTCTATTTCATCCCCTTCTCTGCAGAACTCTTTCACTGGCTCAACGATGCCCTCATCTTCTCTTCATACGATCTTCTCCATTTCACCCTCTCACACACACCTAAGTAGTTATTTACCATTCGGATTCCACTCAAAGACCTGGGGTGTGATGTCAGTCGACGATCCCCTCAGCTTGTACCAGGCCCACATCCACGTACTTCGCCATATTTGTTGGCCGATAGGTCCCCGGTTAGTTCGTTACCAGAGTTCCTTGTCCCTCATCCATTTTGGCCGGATATCTGATCTTCGGTGTAGAGTGAAGTCAGCTATTGATAAAAGTCTGCAGTAGCCTGTGATTTCGATGACGTGTCAAGTCTCTGAACCATAGATAAGCATTGGCTGTTTTGCCACTAGTGTTGAACATCTGAATCCTTCACACTATGGTTAGTGAGGCAGATTTCCATACAGATTTCAGATAAATGAAGGTCTATGTTGCTTTTCCGATTCTGGCTGCCTTTGACATTCACACCCTTACCTCCCGTAGTTGAAATGATGCTGCCTAGATACAGGAAGTTAAAGAGGTCACAGAAATAAACTGACAATCAGATGACGCATAATGAACTGAATTGAACTAAATATTAAAGAAATAACTTTACATATAAATGCAGTAGCTCACTTTACCACACTTCACAAAAGCACACATAAAGTTAGGAAAAAGAGAAAATCCAAAGAAACTATTATTAACTGAAATGTACTGGAGAAAAGATAATTACATGGAAAATAATGAGTATTTAACAGATCCAGTAGATTACACAGAGTTATTTTATTTTCTGTAAAGAGAAAGGTTTTGAGTCATGTCACCCAGAGTTTCCGACTATTGGTTCCTGGTGTTCCGAAGACCCTTTAATGCATGCCTGCACCTCCATACGTGACTCGAGTAAACAGTGAAAGACTTGATGGACTCATGCCATGTTTTGATCTGTGTAAATTGTATTATCTTTCACTTCAATACACGAAGATATTGATTGATGGAAATTTGAAGAAGAAATCACCACTAATGATACACAATTTTTAAAAGCCTAGTCTTACGATAAATCGGTGTCCAGTATTTAAATTAACATAGCTGGATGCATACAGGTATGAAATGAGGATATATGTTTGAGATATTAATCGAGGATTACAGTCTCACTGCTAAATAGATTTCCTCTACTTAATTCATTCACCTTTTTCGGTGAATCCGAGTTCAATTCAAGTTTATAATATGTCTAAACAGTCGCTTGATGTAATCAAGCCTTAATATTTTCGACTCACAAATCATCTATTCACCGCCTCGATCCAGAGAAATTGAATAATTGTAAGCTGCCAACAAATTTAACATAACATACATAACTTATGCATTATAACTAGCTACTTTTCTTGGACGTCTGTGTTGCCGAAGAAGTATTCGACTACCCATCAAGGCAGTGTGGACTTCGTAGCATTTCGCTCAGTAACAGATCACCATTTAAAGCAGAAGGCATGAAAAGATTACAGCGTTTGATCAGCTACTTAAGTTAAGTTGGATACCATAATTAATAATTTTGAGATTAGATCAGTTTTTAGTAAAAGAGGTAATTCAATCGATATGGTGATGAATCTTCACTGATTAAGATGTCTTTGGCATATGTTACGCAATAAAAACCATCACTTTCCTTGACAACCTAATCATGTGAATATTTGATGACTATAACACTGAACCATTTTGACTTAAGCATAACTTACCTGCCTAATTCATGTAACTCAACAACTTGACAGTGAAGTTCAGATGTGTCCACTTAGATTACCAGAGCACTATCCATCAAATATTCAATCATTATTTCTTTTGACGCAATATTGAAGTTTCTATGCGAAAAGCTACAATTAGTCCTATAAAATTGCCGAACAGATCTCAAGGACGTTACAAATACTGGCATTTATACTTACTGTTACATATGGTGTTCCTAACAAGTTATTTTCATTTTCAAAATATTTCTGGTGAAGTTGATAATTATTTAGGTTGAATAAAGTGAAGTTATATAAAATTTCCTAATCTATCTATTTTATATTAATTGGCCGGGATATCCAAAAGTTGGTGTGTTTGTAAATAATAAACTACAGAATATGGAATGGGCTGTACGAGTAGACTTACAAGAATGGAAATTATGTAATGATGGTACCCGGATTTTAACTACCATCTGATACTTCTGCAACGCTTGACGAATTTCAGAGGATAGTTGTTAACTAACAATATTTTAGTGGAATTTCATGTTTCTTCTTCAATGGTGCCCTCTGTACACATACGCTGAATGTTTCTGAGAAAGCACTCAACAGACGCCTTTTTTACTGTAGTGGACAGAAGAAATGTTAGTTCAGATGCTGTCCCTTCTTTGGTGACTTCTTGCTGACAGATCTTCCTAACTACCTATCTTATTGTGGGGTGATGAGTACGTCTAAAAAATGTCAAGCAGTCGTTATTCTCGTTCTCGTATGTTAACAATATGCTGTTATGTACGGTTATATGACTTCTATGGCACCCGTTGGTTTATCATTGTGATCAAAATCAAAATGCAGTTACCAGAGGAGTGAGAGACTGATCATACTTTTTCTTTGTATGCATGATTACGTCATTTGATACTGTAAATCTGGTCATTATTGCTCTATCGAAATTTATCAAGGGAGCCACCTGCATGAAATATTTCCTTTGTTTATCTGTCCCCTGTCGCTACTCACAGCCACTTTCTGTTTTCCAGTGGATGTAAACTGCGATGATAACTTGAGCTGGAAATCGTGATGTTTACATTTTGGATTTCCTAGTTTATGACAGTTTCCTATGATCACAGCAAAATTAAAAGATGTTTGTTATTTTCATTCATTTACAACCATTACAATTTTAGGGAGCTTGTGAAATCCTATAAAATAAAATAATGATATCGTTTCAGCATGTAAATTTGGTCTTTCTGGTTTTCTATAAAAGAATACTTAAATATTATCCAGAATTTAACCTTCCTACTGGAGAAATAAAAATGGCAGAATTCACTCGGGGTGGATACGAGGACAAAGACTGAAGTGCGTTTCCTTTTCTTTCGTTTCTAGTTTACCACCCTTTGAAGCTGTTTACCAGAAGCTGTTGCTACTGCACCTTCAGTGAAAGCTTTAAGTGGAAGCTGGACATTCATGCGAATGAACTATTCCCTTGATCCTCACATGCTGCACTTTAATATTTAGTAGCATATAAACTCGTCCTTTGCTTCTGCCCAGTCCCTTCTGTTTCACTATTCGAATCATTCTGCCTACTCATTCACTTACTTTTTAATTATTATTTTTCATTATCTATCTATTTGTGTGTTAGTTTTTCTAAGTCTACATATTCTTCAGAAACTATGTCATAGTTGTCTAGCTTTTCGACCACGCCGGACGACTAACAGCTGAAATGATTAACTACAGTGTCAGGAAAAGCACAATATAAACACACTGAATACTGAAAACTACCCATAATCAATCTTCTATACGACTGCACTCGGAGTCAACCAGAGCCACCGCAGGCAAACGGTGGGACAAACTAAGCAAAAACTTACCGAAGACTAGGAACCTTTACCTCGTAAACAAGTCAACCGAAATAAACTAATTTAACTTACACTAGCTCGTTAGAAGGATAATATTGGAAATATCGGATATTATAAACAATAAATAGTGTTCGAAATTGCACTCAGCAAAATAATACTGTCTCCAAGTATATTGTATCAAATACAAACAAATTAATATGGGCACTTTCAGTTGCTATTTTTAAGGTTATAAATTAAACTGCCTGTAAACAATAATACTACATAAGTTAACTATCAAGCAATCTTTCCTAGTTGATTACTTAAATAACTATTCATTATTTTTCTTTATTTCCTCTGCAGATTTTATTTGCAGTAGGCTTTGTATTCTATGGCATAGATGCATTCATTCTATTTTCGTACTACCGACAAAATGGGGGATATGTAAATGATCCTAAAACAAAGCAGCGACCCAATGTGACGCCTAAAACTAATCAGACAATACCAACGATACTGATTTCAGCAGCAGACGCGACTTCCACAGAACTTACACCGACAACAACTACGACGACAATGTCAATGAATGCAACGGCAACGCCAAATCTAACCTCTGCATATTCTAATAATGCTTTTGAAAAAGAATAAGTGGAAAACTCAAAAGAACCAATAATATACTATTTCTTGGTAGTAAGTTGTCTTAATTTGGGTATATATATATATATATATATAGATGTTTATTAATCTATAGTAACTAGAAGAAAGAAACTCCGTTGAATTTACATACGGAAATGAACTGATTTCACTTCAGAAACATTAGATGTGACAAGCTGCTAAAACACTCGTAATTATATTTATTTCAGTCAGTGGAAATCCACTTAGACAGGCAGACAAAGTTTCAAACACACTGCAGTTGAAGGCAATAATGTTGTTACTAGCAGGAAAAGTGACCTATAAGCAAACGATAGTTAGTTGACATCAATTAAACAATTACTGATAGCCAAATAGCATTAAGCAGCCGTTTCATCATCCTAATCTAGAACACTTTGCCAATGCACTTACGACTTAAAGAACACGGTTTGTTAGAAACATAGTCGGAAGCCATTGGGCCCGTGAATAAAATGATGTCATTTCATCCTACTAAATTTGTTTTTATTGTTTTGTTCAAATTTCCCAAGGGAAATAATTATATAACAAATCTGTTCACCTTTTTTTGCTCTTTTCAGTAATTTGTCTTTCAATTCATCTACTCACGGTTTATTATGGCAGTATGGGAACCCTGTTTTTTTACATGGAATTTCCTTCCTCTCTAACTCTAGTTCAGCATCATAGAAGAACATATTTTCTTACTATTTGTAGCATTATAACTAATTTAACATCTACTGAAGCGTACTGATAGTTCACTTATTTTTTTACTGATATTCTATCAATTTTTATTGTGATATGCATTTTGTTTTTCGTTTTGGTTTTTCTAATCATGTCAAAAATCCTGCTTTATTCACCAGATACCATTTGTACGGGGTTTAATTTTTATCATAATAATGAAACACTATACCTAATCATTGTTACCATTCCAAATGTTCACCAGTTACCGCAGTATCAACAACAGTGGTAAACAACTTCGTACTGAAGATGTTGTCTAGAAGGACAATGAAAGCTTTGCCATTAAATAACTCATCTCAGAGAATGCAACCACATTCCCGACCGAAAGCTGCTACCTTGACGTGGTGGTCGGGCTTGAACACTGCAATGACCCAACAAGCTATACTGGCTAGAACTTATGTTCCTGCAGCTCCTACCATGCCAGAAAGGTTGTTTGGATAGCAGTTAGACTAAAAGCAGTTACCCAATCCAATCCTATGATTTCAAATAAATCACAAAATATCATGCCGGATCGGTCGGGGCCCGGATTAACAACGACCGCGCTTTCTGCTGCCGTGTCACAGGGCAGAAGTGATAAATACGCTACTGAGACACACCAAATAAAAAAGAACAAACAAAAACAGGCCGCGTGTGACCGGCCTCAAGCAGTTGTCCCCTGGGCTCTGCGGTCACGCAACCAACTTCCACGGTGTGGGCAGCCGGGAAGTAACAATCGCCCTCACAATCCGAAGTGCACGCGAAACCTCTCTAATCCTCGCTCATCTTTGTCTTCATCTTCATCTCTATTATCTTGCCTTCCTTCTACTAATGCAACTCCTCTACTTGTTGGCTCTTCACTTTCTCCTCACTCTGTGTGCACTGATGACGATGGAAGCCAAAAAGCCACCATCGATAGTCTCCTAAAGCCACGCCACTAATTTCATATAGGGGCATTTAATGTTAGGACACTTTTCCAAATGGGACAACAAGTATCACTAGCCAAGACTCTGGCATCCCGAGCCATTGATGTATGTTGTGTTTCAGAAACACGCATACAAGACCCAAGTGTGGCTATTCACCTAACCCCACCTGGCCAACAGGATGAATCTGCAAAATTCACCTTGAGGGTGTCAGGAGATGCGGCGGCTAGCTCACGAGGATTAGCTGGTGTTGGGATAGCTTTGAGTACTAGAGCAGAAAAGACATTACTGGACTGGATCCCGGTAGATAGCCGAATGTGTGCTGTCCGCCTGAGCGGATCAGTGAAAAGAAGAAAGGACTGCACTACCCGCCGATGCCTTTTCGTAATCTCCGCCTACGCCCCCACTGACTGCAGTTCGGATGAAACGAAGGATGAGTTCTACCAAAAGCTGTCTAGTTTGCTGCGAAAGGCTAAACGCTCAGATATAGTCGTTTTAGCTGGTGACTTTAATGCTCAAGTAGGGAAATTGTGTCAATCTGAGAAGAATGTCGGTGGCACATACGGAATTCCGTGCCAGCGAACCGACAACGGTGACCGTCTCCTACAGTTCTGTTCAGATAATCATTTGTATCTTGTAAGCACTAACTTCAAACACAAGGAGAGACACTGTTTGACCTGGCGACCCCCATCATCAAATCAACCCTGGACACAAATAGATCACATAGCAATAAGCTATCGTTGGCGTGGGTCGGTAGGAGATTGTCGCTCCTTCTGGAACACGTGTGTAGAAACCGATCACGCACTGGTCCGCGCCCGTGTGTGCTTACGACTGAACGGGCGTAGGAAACAGCTGGCGGTAAACCCATCACGTCCCCAGCTGGATCAGGAAACTAAGTCCCTATTTGAGGAAGAACTAGCTAAACACATATCTGAGTTCGACAGCTGTGCTCACCCTGAAGAAGCCTGGAAGAATATTCAGTCAGCCATAGATACAGCTGTAAAAGCTGTGAATAAGGTAAATCCAAAGGTGAGTAAAAACCATGGGATTTCGACTGCCTCATCCGAACTGATAGATGCTAGAAGACTTATTCCGGCGAGCTCCGAATTCAATGAGGAGCGAAAGCTGCACAAAAAGAAACTTACGAAAAGTCTCCGCAAGGACCGTGAACAGTGGTGGTTGACAAAGGCGAAAGAGATGGAAAAAGCATCGGCGGTAGGCAACACCAGACAACTCTTCAAACTCATCAGGGAAACAGGTGGTAAAAGGCAAATGATAAGCGAAACAATCTCCGGGAAAAATGGCACCATAATTAGCTCCCAGGATAGACGTCTGGAGCGCTGGAAAGAACACTATGAGGAGCAGTTTAATTGGCCCACAGCCACACTTAACCTGCCGGACATCCAACACCTCCCTGAATGGGATATAGACACAGGTCCTCCGTCCTTAACTGAGGTTACTAAAGCTGTCACTAATCTGAAGCAAGGCAAAGCAGCGGGACCTGATTTATTGACTCCAGAGGTATTTCAGTACGGTGGAGACAGTTTACTGTCTGCGTTAACGGAGGTTCTAGACAGCGTCTGGGAATCAGAGGAAGTCCCATCGGGTTGGTGTAAGTCACTGATCATCCCGATATACAAGAAGGGAGACAAGTCTTCTTGTGATAATCACAGAGGGATTAGCTTGACTAATATAGTATCTAAAATCCTAGGCTCAATAATACTGCGTAGACTAAGTGGTGCTCGGGAGACACAAACACGAGAAAACCAGGCAGGTTTTAGGCCAGGTAGAGGGTGTATTGATCATATCTTCACCCTTCGACAGATTCTAGAACATAGGCATTCCTACCGGCGTCCGACAATCATTATATTTCTTGACCTAAAGGCGGCATTCGATTCTGTCGACCGGGAGGTTCTCTGGCGATGCTTGGCTGTAAAGGGAATGCCAAGAAAATACATCGCACTGATTAAGGCACTCTACTCGTACTCATGCAGCCAGGTGAGGGCTTATGGCGAGTTGTCATCTGAAGTGGTGACGACTAGTGGCGTCCGTTAAGGATGCCCATTATCCCCATTCCTTTTCAACTTCACCATAGACGTGCTAATGGACTTAACCCTAACACACTTCAGCGACTCAGGGATTGACTTGCTACCAGGGAATAATCTCGTTGACTTAGAATATGCGGACGATATAGTCTTTCTAGGCGAGGACTCTGACAAAATGCAGAGTCTACTGAACACCTTGAGCAACAATCTTCGTATGTTTGGCATGCGATTCGTCCCTGTAAAATGTAAGATGATGCTGCAGGATTGGACTTCACCGACCCCTAGATTAGAAATAGGAAGTGAAGTGGTAGAACACGTTGACCGCTTCAATTACTTGGGAAGTACCCTCAGCCCCAACGGGTTGATCTCAGACAAAATTTCGGCACGAATACAGAGGGCTAGGTTCGCATATGCCAGTTTTCGCCGTCTCTGGCGTAGACGCGATATCCGACTATCGACCAAAGGGCGTGTGTACTGCTCAACAGTCCGCTCCGTCCTCCTTTATGGCTGTGAGACCTGGCCATTGAGACCAGAAGACATGAAAAGATTAGCTGTGTTCGATCATGGGTGTCTGCGTTCTATCTCCCGTGTGTGTTAAGTGGTATAATAAGGTGAGCAATATTGAGGTTAGGCGTCGAGTGCTAGGTAAGGCGGGGAAATCAATCGACGAAACGGTGAAATTACTTCGACTGAGATGGCTAGGACATGTGCTACGTATGCCTAGTCATCGCCTTCCTCGACGGGCAATGTTAGCTGATATAGGGCCAGGCTGGAAAAGAGCTAGTGGCGGTCAAACGAAAACATGGCACCAGTCAATGAAATCCACAACAGTTAGTCTAAGCCACGTAGGAAGATGTAGACTTCCTGGTTGGGGTCCTCGGGATGGTAAAAACCAATGGTTGGAAACAATAGGTGACATGGCTCAAAATCGTTCTCAGTGGCGCAGATGCATCCACTCCTTGTGACTTATGATTTCCAATTAAACTGTTTTGTTCTCCGTTATTACTATTCCTTTGTCTCACACCTCTTTTTACTGTCTCTAATATGCATTTCTTCTACTTTCTTCTCTTGCTTTGCGTGCTACATAGATTGTGGCGACTTGAACTGCCTCACATATGTGCAAAGTTCTATGTCGAAAACCGACCGACCGACCGACAACCACATTACAAAAAGAAATAATGTTAACTAACATAGGATCAGGTTGGAAAAGAACTAGTAGTGGTCATACCAAAACTTGGAATTAGTTCATGAAATCTTTGACAGTAGGTTTGAGCTACATAGCGAGGTGTAGACTGTCTAGTTGTGGTGCTCGGGATGCTAAGAATCAATGACTTGAGACTGATGCTGATATGTCTCAAAATCGGTCTCAGTGAAGAGAGCGGATTCATTCACTCTTTCTAATCTCACAGATACCCTGAATCCTCGTGTCCCCATGTTACTATTCTTTCTCTCGTAATTTTCTGCTTATTATAATTCTTTTTAATCTTTCGTTTCTCTAACTTTGCGTGCTACATGGGATGGGACAATTTAAACCTCTAAACTTCTGCGCAAAGCTCTATGTTGAAACTCAGTTAGTGTTACAGTGAATCTGTATACTTTAACGTGTATTACTCTGAATTTTGGTAAATTGGACTAATGAATCGCCTCTGTGTATATTTCACTGCATCAATTGAGTAAATGAAAGGGGGAACTGAGAAGTGAAACAAAGTTTATTGTCTAAGTAAACATTGACCAATTTTTGCCAGTTTATAATAGAGCAATCGTCATCAGTTTCATTAAAAAGCAAACCTCCTCACACTCAACTATTGTTAACCATTCCGGCTATAGTTTCTCATTAGAATCCCAAAAGTAATCTTGATGTATACAATAATGAGTTTTCGTCAATTGCATGCTTGTAGGAAACTGTTTGATCAGTCATTCAATGCTAAATTCAGGTTCATAATTAACCGCTTGTAGAAGTTATAACAATGTCAACTTATTGGATGCTAACTATCCCTTCGTTTTCTAATCACAGACAGAATGTTCAAAATAGCGTACATCCTTTCGTTTTCCTTCCTTTGCGTTCCAAATGAAAGTTCCAGTAGCGATGGTATTATTTTTGGCGGAGTGGGATCCCTATCCTCAGACCCAAGCTATCCTCTTAGATCGAACTTACTATAAGTCAGTACACTAAGCGAGTGCAAATAAACAGAATAATACGACAAGTTGTCAAGCGTCATTTTAATCCAGAGTTTTTTTTCTGGCTACACACAGATTCCCATTTGTTTGGGCTTCAAAAACCCTTTGCAGTCTAACTTTCCGGGCTCATATGTCCAGATGCATATAATTGAATGCTGCCCTCTACCACTAGAGTACTAGATGTAAGGTGTAATGTGTGTCAAGGGTTTAAAATGAAAGCAAATATTGAATTTATTAAAACTAAAGTTTTCATACAACTTAGTGAGACAATCCAGTCTTATTTTCTAGTTTGTACTAAAGCTAACATTCAAAAAAATCTCACGCTCATTGATTTTTAACAGATTTATAACCAAAAATTTTTTCCAAAAAATTAAACAATTATCAAATGATTTTTACATCAAAAAGGTAAACAAGCAATTTGTGAGCATCCACTTTTAATGACAATAACAATGTCATCTTGTTTGAGCAGGTACTTCATTGTAACGTTTCATTGAGTTTCATAAATCTAAAAATCAAGGTTAGAAAAGTTGCATAATCTTCAGTAGAAGCGAAAACAACACGCATTACATGACTCTATTATATATATATATATATATATATATATATATATATATATATATATATATATATATATATATATATATACAAGCATCAATGATTTTGTACTAAGCATTCAGTTTGACAAATTACACGGGTGATGTTATGTACTTCTTGGATAATACAATTTCGTGACTGGTTTCAACATAGAACTTTGCACGGATGTGCACCACTTCGAGTCGCCACCCTTCAATTAGCACACAAAGCAAGAGAAGAAAGTAAGAAGAAATGCAAAATAGAGACAGTAAACACAGATATGAGGCAAAAAGAGTAGTAATATCGAAGGACAATATAGTTCTAATGGATATGATAAATCACAAGGAGTGAATGGATCTGCACCAGCCACTGAAAATGACGACTTTTAGCCATATCACCAATTGTCTCCAGTCTTCATTGGTTTCTGCCGTCCCGAGGACCCCACCCAGACAGAAGTCTATACCTCCCTACGTGGCTGGCTTAAACTAACCGTTGCAACTTCTCAAATAAGTGAGGTTGTCAACACGCTCCACTAACCAATTCACTCTCTATCTTTAAGCTGGGAGTCGATGTAGTCTAGTTCAGTCTTGTAGCATCATCTTACATTTGGCGGAGCAAATCGCATACCAAACATTCGAAGATTGCTGCTCAATATCTTCAGGAGACTCTGTATATTGTTAGCGTCCTCACTTAGAATGGCTTATATCATCTGCATATTCTAGGTCAACGAGATTATTCCCTGGTTACAAGTCGCTGAAGTCAGCAGTTAGGGTTAATGCTATTAGTACATCTATGATGAAATAAAAGAGAAATAGGTATGGTAGGCATCCCTGACGGACACCACTAGTTGTCACCCCTTCAGATGACAACTCTCCGTATGCTCTCACCTGGCTGCATGAGTTCGAGTAGAGTGCCTTAATCAGTGCGATGAATTTTCTCGGTATTCCCTTGACAGCTAAATATCGCCATAATACCTCTTGGTCAACAGAATTGATTTTCGCTTTCAGATCAAGAGATATGACGATTGTTGGACGCCACTAAGTACGCCTATGTTCCAAAATCTGTTGAGGGTGAAGATATGATCAGTACACTCTCTTCCTGGTCTAAAGTCTGTCTGATTCTCTCGTGTTTGTTCCTCCTAAACACCACTTAGTCTACGCATTATTATTCAGTCGAGAACTTTAGATACCACATTGGTCGAGCTAATCCCCCTGTGATTATCACAGGAAGACTTGTCTCCCTTCTTGTATGTGGGGATAATCAATGAATTACACCAGCCCCACAGGACTTCCTCTGATTCCTGGACGCTGCCTACTGCCTTAGTTAACGCAGACAGTAAGCTGTCTCCACCTTACTTAAACACTTCTGGAGTCATTCCATCATGGACCGCTGCTTCGCCTCGTTTCAAACCAGTGACAGCTTTTCTAACCTCAGTTAGGGACAGAGGACTTGTGCCTATATCCCACTCAGGGAGGTGTTGGATGCTGGGTAAGTTGAGCGTGACTGTAGGCCGATTAAATTGCTCCGCAAAGTGTTCTTTCCAACGTTTCAGTCGTCTATCCTGAGAGCTGACTACGGTACAATTTTCCTCAGGGACTGTTTCAATTATCATTTGCCTTTTACCACCTGTTTAGTTGTCTGGTGTTACCAATCGCCGATGCCTTTTCCATTTCTTTCGCTTTTATCGACCACCACTGTTCACGGTCGTTTCGAAGGCTTCTTGTTAGTTTGTGTTTGAGCAGCTTTCGCTAACCAAAGAAAAAATTTCGCATAGAAATACAGATGCCTACAAATGGGATGATTTATTTCAATAGAATTAAGAATATGACTAAGGAGGAGAAGAAAGCAAAATACAATTAAAGAAAAGCAGTCAGAAAAGCATAAATTCAGAAAATGAAAACTGTAGGCATCTGTATCACCAAGATCTACCATAAATACTAATATATCTAGAGTATCTAACGTGAACGTCAAACGTAGTGAATGTATAAGGAATGTATAATGAGTGCTGTTGACGTATAAACCAAAATATCTATAGAAGCAGCTGTAATAACTTAGTTGTTTTTCTTAAATCTACTGCAATAAACTATTATATAGATAAAAAATAATTAATCTATGAGAAGATACACCTACCTTCTATTAAGTGCTATTTTCATGGTTACAAGCTCTGATTGGTGATCGATTCAGGGGAAAATTTTCTGACCTTTCTTTTTACAACATATATTCTTCGGAGATTTTGATGAAGTACTCTCATTTCTTCCAACAACATGCTGTTCATACTTCAGGCATATATATGCGGCATGATTCTGAGTTGCACAAACAAGGTGTCCTGGACAGCCGCATTTTGTCACCTGGTACAGATTGTGCATAATCATATGATAATTGTGTGCCTGATAAAATGGTCTTGTTTGCAAACAAAGCCAAATAAGGAATAAAACTATCAACTCGAACAGGAATCACGGTTAAGTTTGGTGTGCAGGAATGGTTAATGAAGCGTGCTTTTGACTTCACAGAACCCCATAATTCTTGATTACCATCAATGCACGTTTCTGACACAAGACGATTTTCACTATATTCGCGCAATATCAAAATGTAATTACGACCATAAGAGGAAAGTTGACGAGCTTCTCTTAAACAAGCTTCTTTATAAGGGATCACTTCACCTAAATAAACACAAACAAGTTCCCCGCATTTTATATCTTGAATAGCTTTTAATCCCTTACCCATAATTGGGTAGTTGCTCACACAGATTTTATTAGAGTAATCAGACTCAAATGAATTCTGAGCATCTTGTAAATAGTTCTGGACAACTCGATTAGCACAGGACTGACTACATTTACATTCACTGTTGCATTCAAAAACAGGCTTGACAAAATTAATCAGCAGACCATTCGCGTCATATGATTTCCCAGACTTCGATAGACAAGTACAACCATTGTTTAAACTGCAAATATTCTTGCACAGACAACCAGGCAACTGCTCAGTAATCAGACTAAGTGAGATGTCTTCATGATAAAACAACTCCATACACTCAAGAAAGCCTATAGATACAAAATGTAAATACTTATATAGGATATTATATATATATATATATATATATATATATATAATATGGCTGATAAAAAATAAATGTACACTGCTTAATTCGGTGACAGTACTCATATGTACTTTAAGAAACCTACATTAAAGGAGAAATAGGTAAATGAATTAAAAGTGATTCATTCAGCCTTATTTCTGAGTAATTTAAAGGCTTTATATGATTAACCGGATGCATTAACTAACTCGGAATTCCTGGTAACAGGTTTAAGCATAAAGACTGGGTTTACTCAGAGAGTATATTCTTAGACGGTATTGACAAGATATTCATTAACACAGTCGAGTAATCATAGAACAAATAACCAAGTCTCTAAGCGACATTAACAAAGCCGAAGTAAATATGCATATCTATGAGAACTTGGGTCGAAAGTATACACATTAGCGCGAGTAAACCGAACTATCACATTATTGTCAAAGTTGAGAACTAGTTTTCATATTATGTGAGACAAATATGACGTCTGTGTCGGCAGCACTACTGTTATTAAGCTAAATTCCGCATATTTATTTACTATATTATACTTGAAGAAAAGTGAACATCCCCGAAAAGTATGCAAAACACGAACGAATGCGTTTATTCGACACCAATGAAGTTAAGCAAAATCCCTGTTTACATGTGATTGTTGTGTTCAAGGTGATCTGTCCGTAGCTACGTTTCGGTGATTAAAGTTTAACTTCTCCAGGTTAGGTAAATGGTTAACTTTGATATAAGTATAAAACTTGGGCACTGTGGTAGAGTATAACTTCATAAAATGGTTAACTTGCTTTGTTTCGAAAATGAGTACAGCCAGCATGAAACTGCCCTAGACTTTTACTAGCTCGACTTTTAGAGCCTGTATAACATATCTTTGCTAACTACAGCGGTTTATTCAGTTATTCTATTAGTTCAGTGACTGAAGTTATATTTTTGTATGCTTTTTAGACTAAATTGTGCACTGAAAAATTTTCAGACAAATATAATGTCAGCCGCATTATACACTTGAACCGCGTTATTGTCGCTACACTTCTGTCGGAAAATGTCGATTGATACTGAGATCTGCGCTATGTAGTGGATTAGATTAGGCACCAATTTCAAAGGTGAAATGTATATTTTTCCATTTTCATGGTATTATGATAGTATATTCGGCTTATTTAATAAAACGCTTCTGCCTTCGCTAGTTTGCCAGTTGTTAATATTCATCGCACGATTTCAGCATTAATTTCTGTTTTCGTGATTTCATCCTGGACTGCTTTTCATTCAGCACTATAAGCACAGTGTGTGGCACCGTGGTGAACATGCTTTTCGAATGGCTTTTATTCTGAGGAAAGATTCAACTGCTATGAAATCCTAGTTTCTTAAGTATCAGTTATGACTTAAGCCGGTATTTCAAGGCCTGAAAGGCGATTAGTCTATTTCGCACGGCAGAAATAAATCATAAAAGTCTCACGGCTTCAGATGTTAATCTGAAACTATAGTTTTTCGCTCCATTCCACAAGTACGGGGAATTACTACTAATTTGTACTTCATTTCCGGAGATTTACAGTTCCACGTGCATTTCTTCATTACACAATGAGCGTTGCTTAGTGAGTGACTTGAAACTGATATATCATATGCATCTTTATACATATAAAGTACCACTTTTAGCTGACTTAGAACACCTTAAAAGTTTTTCTTCATAGAATTGTTGTATGTCTACTGACATGGGGGAGTGCAGGATGGCTTCTTTTGCCCCAGAAGTAGACGCGTCCACCATATAATACCGCATATAAAAACATGCTAACCTTTTTAGAATTTCGTGTTCCTGAATTGCCAACAGTAAGCGATTAGAAAGTTGAAAGTGATATGGACACAGAAACCGAAGAAAAAACTTTAGTGAAATTCCCTAGTCAACTGAAGTTTTCCCAATTTTGCGATAATTATCACAAACAATGACTGCAACGCCCTTGAAGAGCAACTAAGGATAAACGTAATAGCACGAAGCTGCGAGGAGATTATTTCAACGCCAGGAGCATAAATGTACGCCAAACATACTTGTTATACCAGACTACTAAAGCATAAAACACATTCATGCATCCTGCTACAAAAACAGTACATTCATACACAGAAACAATCTTAGGAAACGATTCTTAATGCACTCAACCCAACAAAAGCCAAACAAACATCAGAATCACGTCGGATACATTTGCCTCGATCAAACAAAGCAAAGTAACTAACCAAACCTCTCAAATGCCCACCAGAATACAACCGGGGATATGGTATGCAATCGCCCATTCAGCCAAGAGGTAGGAGATTATATGCTGGGAAACCCTACATAACCAGCCGTGCTCCAAGAAGTCTATGGCTACTGAGACATCCATACGTAGATTCTCAGAAGATAAAATAGGTAATGTGCTGCCATTTACTCAAGGGAATACTGACGTGCACGAAATAATGGAGTTGGCACGTCACTGGTTGGACAAAGTTGTACTATACAGTGATTTGAGAAATATGTTGGCTAGAAGTAATGCACGTAAGTCTTTTGAACATCGACTTTACAGTTGAATAAGAATCCACAGTTTAGAAGTTTTTCCCTCACTCAGCAGGAGAAATATGACAAGTTCGTGTTTTCTGTGATAACATGGGTTTCATGTCTTAAGTTATTTCTACCTGTCGTGGAATGGTTAACCTTAACCACAAGTTTCCCGAAGTAATCAAGATTGATTAAACCTGCAAGACCAATAAGATGGGGAGGAGGTATATACGACTATAATGAGGTGTAACTTTCATTCAGTATGATTGTGGATTACCTTTATATCGGCTTGTTGCGACTGATGAGTTCAGGAAGGGAGTACTGTTCCCTTCGGTCTCACCTGGAGAGGATGTTTTTCAAATGTGAAGGACATCGTGCAAACAACTGAAAGGTTCACGAAGAGCACTTCTAGGACAATGGCGTCTACTGTCGACCGTGTGACTGCATAGTCGGCCGTTCCGAAAGAAGTTTACTCGCTATGAAGTGTTTATCTGTGTGTTACCGGAGTTTGCTAAACCCTTCAGGAAGAGGGGAATTCTATGCCGAATCCTTGACGCAACCATACAAGTTTCTAAGCCAATGTCTGGGGAATGGTTATATCTAAAGGTGCATACACCGCCAGACAATGTGGGCCTGCGATTTAAACTGTATTTCACAGGCCGCAGCCTCCTAGACCCATCAGCTGATGCTTGTATGCAAAGGCATTTGCTCAAGAGCAGAAAACACTGGGCTGTCTCACATAACTGCTCCACCATCTCAATGGTGACAGAAGAAATGACTGAGTGGAGAATGCCCAGTCACATGAATGGCTATTTATGGAAAGGCGATCGCCTTGAACCAGCCACATGGAATTTCTGATGGTGGATCGACGCATTACTATTCGGGAAGAACACGAAGGCCAATGGATCCTCTGTAGATACTCTGGTTACAAGTTTTAAGGCTATTCATAGTTGTCTTGAGATTCCTGCCTCTCTGAAGCCTATATTAAGGTGTATGGCTACCTTCGCTACAAGTGATTTGAGTACCAATTCCTAACTGACTGCATTACAACTGCCCCATTAATATACGTGAAAGGTGTTCACACCCTCTTCGTGGACAGAATGGAGGATATATGCATGTGGTGGAGCCATTTTGCACATGCTTTACTGTATGAGAATGCACTCGCAGTATCTCTGCACTTGTACCTGCACTGTGGTATCTCCTGTGTCCTTAATTACTACCAGGATATATCCTGCGAAATGCGGAAAGTTGATTGCATCAAAATAACACTGCCGACAGCATGCTGAGTGTCACCCGGTCAGCACCACAATCACGCATCATTTTCTTCAAAGTGTGTTAACGCCTCCAAAGTCGTATTGTGGTTTTACTAATGGAACTCATATTCTAGTGCTAGAGAAATGGATGATATTATCAGGATCGTCCAACTGTTATAAACTGTAGCACAGATCTGTGCATTCGAATGCAATAAGAATCCGACCGGTTCTTGGTAATCCTGCCTTCTTGTATAACCTTTCGGATTCACATCTAATTTCCGTATACATTAATAATAAAAGCACTTATTCCTTACTTCAGTTATTCTTCACTCCTGAGAATGGAAATTTCAAGTAGACATAGTTTAATTGTTTACTACAGAAAGTGGGTTAGAAGGCAGTTGAAAATATAGGCAGTGTGAGCCCCATTTTTTTTCACATTTGTCAGCCGAAGCTTACTGGTCCATAGCATATAGCGAATAAACCGGACTAACAGAATCTATCACTATTTTCGTAAGACCGCTTTCAAAATTGGCTGAAGCATAATTTAAGTTGCTTCGTTTGATATCAATACAAGCATGCACCGTTCCAAATCCAATAGTGCGGTGCCTTATTCAGCAACAGAGTCTATATCATGTGCTATCTTTCGGTAGTAAACGAACCAGTAGTTTCCTTTTAAGCAGTCTAACCTGTGTAACTATAGACTTCCCGATTCTCTTGCTTCTTTCTTCCTCTTTTCCCACTTAGTGCACATGGAGTATCCTTTGTGACTTTTTATGCATTGGTCAGTCTGGTTAACTTAATAAGATTTACGTATACTTAAGAATCAGCAGAAACCTATACAGGCATTCACATCCCACCACCATGGACATTCCGGAAATTAATGGTCTCGTTCAATAATACATTAGGGAAAATACTGTAGCTATTTAAGTAGGGTTTCGACCCTTAAATTATGTTTTTATGCCTTTGTATGTCGGCATAATAGTGAAACAGCACTCTTAATATCATTATTCGTATTTCGTAATTTTCAAGAGTTTGTTATATCATTTCCACACTCCTACGACATTTTAGAGCATTTGTGCTATTTCCCACTTAAATGCACATAAGACGCATTGAAACTACATCAGGTCAGTAATAGGACGCTATAGTGTGATAAAATGTCTGACAACGATAAATTTAAACCCAGAACTCAAGTAGTGATTTGCACATATCCCTGAAGGCTTTTCAAACAGCTGTAAACACAATAGTACACTAATTACGGTAAAAGAATATCCACTTCATGTAACAACATAATAATGAATCTGAACGTTAAAGTATCATTCTCCCTTAGGTTCTCAGCTGACAGTGACTGACCTTAAACATTCAATTTCAATATACAATCCAATGTTCAATGTCGTTTTTACGAGCTAGTATAAACCAATTTGATTTCTTTGAGCTCGCCTCTTGATTGTGAGGTAGAGGTTCTTGATCTTCGGTAAACTTCTGCGTAGCTCGTCCCGCCACTCGACTGTCGTAGCTTTGGTTGACTCCAAAAGGAGTAGTGCAGGGATTAATTGTATGTGGTTTGTACAATGAATTTGAACAAGTATGCATAATTTTGTCACTTCTTGGGTTTCACTTACTGTTGTTTCAGAGAGCTCTTAGGCTTCCGAAATACTTCAGCGTAATCTACGCTAAGTTAAACTTTGGACACCCAACAGGCTCGAGTTCACCGATGACCTGAGAATGACCAGATGTGGTAGGATATAAGACCAGGCAAATGACAATAATTTTATGAGGTGTTGAACGAATAGTAATGATTTTAAATGGGATATAATAATTATAGGTGGGTTGCAGAAAAATAAGGGCTGGCTTCCAATATCCAATATCGTGATTACGAGCTAGTATAAACCAGTGATTTCTTTGAGCTCGCTTCTTGATTGTAAGGTAGAGGTTCCAGATCTTTGGTGAACTTCTGCGGAGTGAGTCCCGCAACTTGACTGCTTTGGCTGTGGTAGTCTCCAAGAGTGGTGCGGGAATCGGTCAAAATGTGGTTTGTAGTATGCAGTATGTTAGGACTGAGTTGCTGCCGTGAATGGAGTTTGACCTAACTCCCGTTGGTCATTCGGTGTGGTCATAAAAGCAGAATAGTAATAACAATAATAATAGTTTATATTTTCATATAAACATAAATTTACATGAAAATGCATGCCATTTTTACAGGCACGATCAAGTATGATATAATGTCAAATAGTAGATTGTCTACAAGTTAATAATGTTTGAACAGCTAAATATTTGATAGATATATATAAATACACTCTTTGTCTGACCCATGTCGTATCATTATTGAATTAAACAGTAGTCCTCCAGGTTGCGCAGGAAAATCGACTTCGTTTTGTTTTCAACCCGTAGTTGTAGGCATACGATAACCAACCAATATTGAGGTAAGGGATAGTAAGCTGCTTTAGGAAAGTAAAGGTGCTAAGGTGAATCATTAAAGTGTAATGAAATAGTTAAATGCAATGTATCATTAATAGATGCATTCATAAAGGAAATACAATGGGAGACTTTAATCCCTAGACGGACAAAGTTCATTTGCAATGTATAATGCTACCCATATAGGTCTTACTATCATGATGTCCACTTTTGGTTTTAATACAATTATCCACAAGCCGGTTGTTTTTATTTCATACCTTTTTGTGTATTTGGTGCACAACCGTACCCTATAATAAATAAATAAATTTATTCTCATAGTACAGTACATGAGGGACGCCAGTTTACAGGCATCATCAAATTGTTACAGAAATATAACCATATAATTCAATCACAATTTACAGGCAGTAGCAAGATATGCTTTACATGTTCGCTGGAGATTATACGTACACTTGATAAATGTTAATCCCAGTAGTATAAAACAGCCTTTTCACTCATACACAATCAATTCTGTGCAAAGTTGGAAAAATCTGCTAGATTGTCAGTGAGTGCAACACAACAGGAAATACAGGAGTATTTTCTTCGCATTAACAAAAAAACCAGGTCTTTGGTGGATGGATTATAAGTGCCTGGGAAAAAAATAAAGCTTGAAGTAAATATTCATACATAACTTTGTTGTGTGCAGAGTCCTCGAATTATAGTTCATTGATGTGTTATTTTGAAATCAGTGATGTGTTTATCTCATTTGATCTTCAATGTCATTGTTGGGAGTAAGTACATTAGCTTCGGACGCATTAATTAATGGATTTCTACTGCTTGCGGGTATTTTCTTAGCGTGAGGAAGGTTTATGAGTTTCAGCTGTTCCGACAGGAGTTGAGAATATTAACTGCTCAGCAACATTATGGATATAAGTTCATCACATTATCTAAGGAAAGGTGGGTTGCAGTTGGTGAGGGATATATGGTGCCCAACGAGCGTTCATCTGTCCTTGTGATGTTGTGGTGAGTTATACCTTTTTCATGTTGTCGGTTTATGTCCATTTTATTCCACTTATTGTGTTGGGTAGTAGTTTTACAAACGAGATTTCTTGTCTGTTTGAGGATACGTATCTTAACCGTTAATGTTTTATCTAGAATTATAAATATAGGCAAAAAACAACAGGTGTAGTATTTAAGCTTATACATTAAATGGACCTATAATTTCGGAGGCTCTCAGATAGGAACTAGAACTACTGTCGTTTGCAAACTCTTGTAGTTTGTCATTAAGCACCTTTTTGAAGGAGGCCAATGTACTTGCTTGACGCATTTCCATTGGTAGTTTATTCCATATCTGTGCATACCTAATCAAGTAAAACTTTTGCCTGGTGGTTGTTTTACATTGTTCGATAGCTACTGTACCCTTAGTGTGTCTTAGTTTGTAGCCATTGTCATCTGAAAGTCGAGTGCCATTAGTAGAGGTAAAAACTAAGTGGTTTAGAAGCTTATAGTAAAGTGTCAAGTTTAGTCTCAGGCGTCTTAGCCATAGTGTTTCTAGTCCTAGGGTATCACATCTAGTGGAGTAGTTCGTACCATTTTCAGTTCCGAGTAATTTTAACGTGAAGTACCTCTGCACTCCCTCGACTTTCAATTTGTCCTCTATGCGTATGCTACTATATATGAATGAACAGTAATCAAATAAAGGACGCACACAAACCTTGTACAACAGAATTCTAGACTCATTTCTGTAGAAGTTCCTGAGTAGAAAGCCGATAAGTCTGCGTGACTTTGACACTTGTTTGGAGATATGTTCAGAAAATGATAAGTTATGTGAATATTTCAGCCCTAGGTCCAGTACAGATTCCAGTCGTTGAAGTGCATGGCCTTGAATTGTCAGGTCAAGTTCTAAATTGTTGCAACCTGTGCAGAGCCAGCCACATTTTTCGACATTAAATTGGAGTTGCCAGGTGTCACACCATCTATCCATTTTTTCTAATTCTTGCTGTATGGCGTTTACTGTTATTCCAAGATCTGTGTTCTTGCATTTATACGTCACTTTTAAGTCATCTGCATATAGTATTGGTTTACCTACACTAAAGCATTCACAGATACTGTTTATATATATTATGAATAAGAGTGGGCCTAATACACTTCCCTGGATTACTCCACTACTTACTGGTTTAGGCCTTGAGATTATCGAGCCAACTTTCGTTGTCTGACTTCGGCCACAGAGAAATGATTTTATCCAGCTCAGGAGAGGATCACATATCCCTAGTGAGCATAACCTGCTGACTAGCAGATTATGGGGAACTCTGTCGAAGGCTTTTGTTATATCGAAATATAGTACAATTACTAGTTCTCTGTTGTCCCTACTTCGTGTAACTTCATTGAAAAAGTCTATGTGACAGGTCACACATGATCTTTTTTTAAGAAATCCGTGTTGTGATGGATTGATAAGTTCATGTTCTAGTAAGTTGTCTGACACTTGGTCTTTAACCACTTTCTCCATTATTCGGGATATTACCGGTGTTATATTGATAGGTCTATAGTTGCATACACTGGTTTTGGCCCCTGCTTTGTGCTTAGGTGATATGTATGTGGTTTTCCACACTTCAGGATAAGTTCCAGTTTCCAACGAGAGAGTAAATATTCTAAGTAACAAGACTACCATTTCCGTGCTACCATTTTTGTACATGACAGATGGTATGTCGTCTGTTCCAGTACTACCATTAGACTTCAAAGTCTTAATCGCTGAGTCTATATTTTGTATATTAAAGTCTATTTCGCCTAATTTGTGGTTGCTTTTGCAGGTCATTTGGAAATTTGGGGTCGGGTGCACTCTGGCGTCATTGCAAAACCACTCATTGAGGAGTTCACTTATAACCTGGGGATCATTGTATATTATGCCCTTATGCTCCAAGCTGCTTACAGTATTGTCTTTACTGCTTTTTAGACGTCTCTGCAATATCCTACAAAGTTCCTGAGTTTTGGAGTTACCCACAAGCGCTTTATTTTCTTCAAGTTGTGACATCATTTTGTGTTTCTCTTCAAGCAGTTGAAGAGTTTCATGTATTTGGTTTAACGCATTAAATTCCTTAAATACATGGTATTTCCTTTTCAATTTCTTTAGTTTTAGTCGCGTTTTGCGGTCTATAAATGGAGTTGGTGTCTTTAGAGCAGATTTTAGGGGCGCGATTATGTCTCTTGCTGAGCCAATTGTTTTGTAGAAAATATCGAGTGATACTTCTAAGTTATTGTTAATGAAGTATTCTTCCCAGTCAGAACTTCTCAGCAGATCTGATAGGAATTCCCAATCGGCATTCTTATAGTCCCTATACTGATAGTGCACCGGGGAATTTTTAGGTGTGTGTTTAGTTGTTAGTCGGAATGGTAGCGTGCAGTACAATATGTTGTGATCACTGTTATCAAGTTTATTTCCTACCTCTATTGAGATGGGCTCAATTTCATGACAAAGGATTAAGTCAAGAGTGTTTTCATTTCTTGTAGGGAGGCGTACGCACTGCTTCCATCCTCCTACGTCTATAGCTTGTAGTAGCTCGTCATGGATTCTAGGTCCTGTACAGGTATCCCAGTTTACTCCAGGTAAGTTGAAATCGCCACAGACTACTTTGTAGTCAAAGTCGAGCGAAGCTACATGCTCTAGTATTTCACCAATAATTATATCAGTCATTTCAGAGCTATTAGGGGGTCTGTATATACATCCCACGAGAATTTTATTTTCGTTTGTGTGGATGCTTATCCACTTAGATTCAGGGAGTTTGTCAGTAGTTGGGTTATTGAAAGTATTGGAGTTAGTGGATTTAGAGACATATATTAAGCAGCCGCCTCCTCTTCTGTCAACTCTATCGTTCCTATAGATGTCGTAGTTGTCT